TTTAGGAAAACTATGCCTATCGTATTTGTAGTACAGTGAAGCTAAGATACAACACCCAGCAGGCAGGCAAACTTGATAATATCCGATGAATTAGCATGCCTGGTCATGGCACACCGGGTACAAAATATGCAACCAGCATAACGTTTCCACCAGTATTGATAATCTATCGTAACGTTATTATCAAACTACATAACTGCTAAGAATGTGCAACTACTAACATAAGGTACGATCGGCTTCGAAATCCAATGATTATGAGCAAGCGCGCATATATTTCTACATGTGCCATGTAGATAGAGTGTTTCATCAGGTTCAGTAGGCATGGATCCACAGTTCATTGTTCTGCTTCAACTACCGTAGCTGTGATGTACAAGTTTTGATCTCTGGCTATGCATGATGGTATTAGTGAGCCCAATGGCCTACAAAAGCCGAAGTGATGAAACTTTCTGCCGTGGGCAGAGGGATCATCGAGTTGCCCACTCTTGGTTATGTACTCATGCCATGACCAACTATCAGTGCACAAGTACTGCTACGCCCTCACTATGATCCATTGCAACAATATCACCAGGCACATGCATGCTACTGCACCCATTAAACCAAGAGTCGCAAATAGGAAAATCTTTGCTGTGAACCACAGCTATAAGGTGCTTTGAGTCCAGTTTTGTGGGAAAGTTGCACTGCACGATGCACAATACCACATTGAGCGAAATTCTTTTTTTTCACATAGCGTGAAGTGTCTCTCGAGAAATGCAATGCACAATGCATAGCACATCGCAGAAAAATCTTGTATTGCACCTGCAGTCTAAAACTACTTGCCAGCCAGAGCTCTTGAGTCACATGCACCAGCATGCAGGAAGTGATGCCCATCACGTGTCACCCAACCTTGAAGTGGAGCTGGACTCAATTTCCCGTGATACGACCTGTGATGGAGCTGGAACAACCAGCGATGCAAGTTTGCAGTCCAATTATTTGAAACTGGCCCGCTATGTTGCTGAGAACGTACTCAAGGCAACATTTGAGAAATTACCTTTCGAAAAAATGTTCGGTACAAACCTGGCCGGATATTGTTTAAACTTTACGGTCTGTGTGAAGAAAACAACTATTTTATTGCATAGACTAAAGCTATCCAGCTTTATCGATAATTTTCACGAAATGAAAGAAGGACCCTCCTCCACCCCCCACCCCCCCCCCCCCCCCCGATTGATGTCTGTAATATCAGTATTTTTTCGAAATGAAACTCCCCTTGACCCACCCACCAACGAAACTTTTTCTCTTCGTGTAAAAGATCGACAATTATGGACCCGGCATTATCGATAATTTTCACGAAATGAAAAGTTTAGTGATGAGTAACTTGTGACCGTCCCCCACCCCCACCTACTCACCCCTCAACGAAAAATAGCTGGAATGGACTAGTGTTTCAGCTATCAATATTTTTCATTACGAAACCCTTCTTGACCCACCCGCCCATGAACGATTTTTTTTCTCGTTTCTTGTTAAAGATAGATAATTATGGATGGCCCCTAACGTGCCAGGTTCGAATGAATGGACCGTAGAAGATTGTTTGTGATATCACACGATCAGAACAGGTGACAACCAACACTACATGGCTGTATACTTGATGTGCTGCATTTACTGGGTGCAACGCAGGGAGTTGTAGCATCTAGGTAGATGGCACAGGCGACTGTAAAGCTAAATGACATGGGGTTCGACCCAGGGGTTCTTGTTTCAGCCACCCCTGGGGCACCATTGGGCAGATCTATACACGCTCGTACATGGCATTGCTAATCTGGGCCGTTCTCAGGGTCAGTAGGTCAAGGCCGTGATTGCACAGATCACGGAGAACCTCCAAATCCTGACCCAAAATTCTATAAAGTATTGTGTAGTCTCCCTACAGTGTAGGTGCTATGACTCCCTGGCACGATGTACCTGCTGGTAAATAGACAAATTGCAACCAGGCCATAATTTGGATAGAGCAGACGATCCTGTCCTGGACCCTGTTCCACATTCAAAGTATCTAGACTCATTATAGTGAGGGAGGAATATTGTGGTACTGACTCCGATTTTCATGCGCTAAGAAATTATCAAGTATATGTAACTGTAAGTGATAATCACTCAAAGTACGAAGCTAACAGTAATATTCACTGGTTAGAGGGAAAGGCACAAACGGGAAAGGTCTGAAGAAAAAATTGACTGTTATCACCAGGATTCGAACCAGGGACCTTTGCTTGAGGCCAGCGATGCTCTAATTACTGAGCTAAGGTGTAGCCGTCATCCCAGCCGAGATCGTTCAACATTTTCTTCAGACTTCGTAACGCACACTAACAGCATCAGCTAATGGTATATGTACTCTTTTTCGATTGTACATGCAAGCTCTACCTTGTGATGTTGAGCTCTCTTCGTTTGGTGGGGGTACTCCGATCGTCTAATGTGAACCACAGTCCACCTACAATTCTACATTTGCAACGTTGTCCAATGTGCATCGGCACTCATTGTACATAACTGTTACAGCAGAGTGTAGATTATCCGCACCCCTCGGGCGCACGCTTTCTCCAGGGGGTTCGGATGGGGAAAAATTCTGATAAGGGAGCAGTCACACATCCATCTAAGACTTGCACATTCCTTCACGTTTCCATCATTTCTCACATTCTCTTCACAGGAACTAGACACACTCTAGCTCCTCAATATGACACCACGGTGATACATTGTTGCTCCAACCTGTTGCAAACTATCTTGTGCACCGCTTGAATGGTGCTTGGGGTCGGGGAAAATGAGCAGAAGCTCATTTTCGTCCCTTCAATTCAATGGAAACTGGCATTTCGAATAAGTGATTGTTCAGATTATCGGCATTCTCCTGTACCATAAAGTCGCGGATAAAAGCCGGGCTTATAAGCACATGAGCCGCTTTCTGCATCAGGCTTTAATGCAAACCAGGCTTGTATGCAAACCATGCTTATATGCACCACTGATATTTTTGCTAGACTTGTATTCCAGGCTTCTACGCGCGACAAGCGTAGATCTACCACTGACTACCAGTATGGCGGCAGTTTTACTATGCACCGTACATAGCGCATGCACTCTTGACCCACCCGATCCGCGCTTGCATAGAAGCCAGGCTTCTACGCGCGACAGGCTTATATGCATTTAACCCGTTTGATTTTCAGGCTTCTATCTGCGATGTGCTTGTATGCAAACCCGGCTTTTATCCGCGACTTTACGGTATTCATATTCACGCTTTCGGTACAGTCTGGAACAGGAGATCCTAGTTCGACTCAGACTGCCCTTTCCATAATACGTTTCCCATGTACTCGCAGTTCTTTTATCGGAACATCTTTTCTTCCCAACCTCAAATCCTGTGCAACACCGGTTGGCTTTCCTCAGTTTCCTGAGTGGTGTTACCTCTCAATAGAAGCATGAGTGGCCATTCAATATACCGGTATAGTAAAACATGTCCATAATTATCGGAGAAAGGATCGGATGTGGCTAAATAATTTGAAACTGTTCACCTCTCCTCACTGCGCTCTTGGCCCACATTTACCACACCATAGCGAGGAAGTTCGTTCTTGGATAGATGCTCTACATCCTCCAGACATCTATCCAAGAACAAACTTCCTCGCTATGGTGTGGTGAATGTGAGCCAAGAGTGCAGTGGTGGACAGTTGCAAATAATTTTACTACAATGTGCTAAGCAGAACAGAGGTACTCGCACCTGGGTGGAAACTATTCTGAATTTTGAATGCCAGGGAAGGCTGAAGGATACCCATGAAACCACTGCCAAAGCAAACACGAATTTGAAAAGCAGTGCATGCATGGTGGCGGTGGGAAAAAGCAGCCAAGGAAAGTGTGTACATATTTTTGTTGAAAGCACGAGAATTCAAAGAAAGCTGGCTGCTTCCTCTATTTCCATGATCGGCCAGTGCCTGCAGCACGAACAGTACATTGTAATACATGTACATGTATGTGCATAGACAGACAAATAAACACTAACCTGAGCATGGGTACCGCTTGTATTCGTGGTCAGGAAAGTGAAAGTACGAACGAAGGAGAAGAAGATTGTTGACCATGGCGAACAACTGCATATCCAGAGGGCACACGGCTTGCCAGAATGGGTCGGCTACATCTTCGCTAATTTTCTATCCTAACAACATTCAGCTTCGAGGTCAAGGACGGCGGCATTTTTGGAAGGAAATTTCGAATTTTGGAGAAGAAGCTTGCTTTCGGAAAAATGTTCCTTTCACGCAAGGCAGCATGCCAGGTCAGGCGTGTGAACCAGGTGAACTGTGTCGGCAGATCGACGTTTACGTTCCAGGCCGACAGTTTTTTGACCAAGCCGTGAATCGCCCTCGCTCTGACTCGCCCGGCTACGAAGGAGTAATTTTACAACTCTTCAGGCCAGCTACAGGTCTCTGATGCAGAGCTGCAAGTGACGGATATCGGTCATTTGCAGCCACTACTTTGGGCCTCCTAGCTCCTGGTCGTCGCAATCTGATACATAATATACCTCCATAGACTGGTTTGTACCAGGGCCCGGAAATCGGGTTCGCGCGATTCCCGGGTATGCACTATGCAAGCAGGGATCGGAGGTCCTCGGGATCGGGAGTTGTCTACAACTCCCTGATGGCAAGCAAGAGTACATAACCCTCCGGACCGGGGGGTTATGTACTCTTGACGGGAAGTCATTGTACATGTAGATAGTACCAAGAGTCCATAAATGTACTCTTGATAGTACTAGTAGATCTACTCGTACGATCGTGACGATAATAATAATAATTATAATTATTATTATTATCAAGAGTCCATAACCCCTTTGCTGTATGGGCTCTTGATAATAATATACCGGCCCAGGCCAGACCAAGACGGAAAGAAGAAAATCACCACTACGGCACTAGACTACAAAAAATAGATTTACTCCTTTGAAGTGACTTTCCCCGGATATCAGGGAATCGCACTGGTTGGACGTGGGGGTACGACTCCCTACATATAGCTGCACAAGTACTCTTGCTGTCTTAGTGAAAGTCCTAGCTCATACGTTTACATGTACTGCATTTGTGAAACACCATGAATAAAGCAGAAATGCACAGCATAGCGGACGGCTCTACTCTACCCGTATCAAGAACACAAATTATCCCAACGTTGCAACAGGCCACAGCCGGGGGGGGGGAGGTAGTCATGTGGATAGCTGATTTCACTGTATGGACGGCAGGCACTGTGCAGTACGTATGCTCATGGCAAGTAAGTTGGGTGCTCACATCAGGGTGCTTTGTGGCCTAGCCACGCAGTCAGGACGAGAGGGTAAACACCACGAGAACGCTCAAAATTGCGCTATGTGTGACAGCTCGAAGTCCCAGATTGTTCTTTTGCTTTCCCTACACAAATGGGCGAGTGCAGGGACCATCTGACAGACTATGGTGCGGTCTCGGCCCCTTGCGTCACTGAACCAGTTTCAAGTGGCGAGCGTTCGGACAACACATTCCAAGCAAACGCAGGCTGGATGAGAGAGAGAGAGAGAGAGAGAGAGAGTGGGTTTCTCCGGAGTAAGCTAATAAAATCAAAAGCCCTATAAAATAAAATAAAATAGAAGAAGTTGTTAAAAAAGATTAAGATGCCACTAGTCCGAGTCTGAGTCAGCACCTCTCCGTAGGGACGCCTCCATCACGTCGTGGATTTGCCGTTTCTTCAGTGGATTTTCTTCCAGTGTAGTCTTCACTGCTCCATATCCATTCAGCTTCCATTCCAGCTCTGGATATGACAAGGACAAATCACAACGCACACAATCATCAGGATCATGCAGCAGAATTGTCCCTAGTCTAAAAATAAAACAATACTAGTAAATCATTTCAATACACTACGATAGCTTCGGCATAAAAGTCGAGTAGAGACAGATAAACCATTCTCTTTCCCACTGGATCATTGTCAATTGAACTGTAAGTGATGTGATCAGGCGTTCATAGGATATTTCAGGAGACAATACACGTGAGATATCAATCATGTCAGAACACATCGACACTAACACATGAACACATGAACACACACACACACACACACACACACACACACACACACACACACACACACACACACACACAACAACAACAACAACAACAACAACAACAATCTCTTATTGGCGATGGTGCCATCGTGAGAATAAAAGATTTCAAACAACAACAACAACAACAACAACAACAACAACAGTAACAACGAACAGGAAAAATAAAAGTGCATGTACACACAGGTGTGTAATAATTTAAAGTGTTAGAGGAACCCACCATCTCTTGTCAAGTTCATGCCACCGAAGACGATTGGACCAGCCATTTGGCCCTTCATGTCGCCCTCAAAGTAAACAAAGATCGTGGGCAGGTTGTGATCGGGATAATTCGGAATGCACGTAGTCGATATGCTGCGGATAAACTTGGTTGCTGGAAATTTGCCTGCTAGCTCTGTGATGTGTTTGTTTATCAAGGCACATAGGGGCAGTCTGGCCAGACAAAGCAAACAACAACAAAAAGAGAAATGAGCACACTTAGTATGTTTCTTGAATACATTCATTCAAGTAAAATCTGTGTTTAAATAAAAAAAATCACATACAAAAATCGCACACATACACACACACACACACACACAAACATTTGCACTTGCTCACTGCCAAAACTGGTCACGTGGGGCTTCCTGGGAGAGGGGAGAGAGCCTCAAAAGGATTCTTAGAAAGATAACTCAATTGGCTATTGAACCGCCCAACGGCCGACTCCCCTGAAATCCCCCGACTCTGGGTGGATTTGGAAATGATCCCACTTATGGGCTCACTACACCTCAGTATTAAAGTGGGTGAGGACAAGGTGCAGAAAAATGATTGACGGCATCAGGGTATCCGTCCCGGGATCCAATTGCAGTTACCCCTGCCCCCAGTGAAGGTAATACTTGCTACTAGTGTGGGTGGCTGAATCAGAGTGGATCTGATATAAGCTTCACTAGCACCATTGATTACACAAGACTTCATCTAGCCAGAAGCAGTCCATGGTTACTTCAAATAGAAGGTATATGAACCCTGAAGCCAACAGAGGTAGCAGTCACTAGCAGTTACAACAATACGCCTGCCAGCAGCGGAGCTTGTTGGTAGCAGGCCCAACACTATCTAGCATAAGTGTACCCACCAACGGAACTAGCACCGAACACACACACTCACACACACACACACACACACACATACAACAAAAATCCTCACCCCTGCTTGTACAGATGCAGGACAACATAGACACCTTTTCCAGCCTTGTTCACTTCCTGTACATACTCATGCGCTGTGATTTCCGATACAGATCCAAACCGGGCTTGCTGTGACAATAACCGCATCTCCGCCAGCCGTTTCTGTCTAAAACGAACAAAACACGACAAAAAAAACCCACACACACACACAACGGCATTAAAATTCAGAATGGTATTGCACTGTATCTCCAACACATACATGAATATGCATGGGAGCTGCTTCAAATATGGCTACTATGGTCACGCGAATCCTGGTACAATACTGTCACACGTCTAGTATATGACATGTTGTATAGAAAGCATGACCATATCCGGTATACCGTATATTCTCTATTATAAGCGCAGGTCTCCATTACTAGCACAGTCTCTAATACTAGCACACTGTGAGCACCTTTCGAAACATTATAAGCACGGTCTCTATTATTAGCACGGTCTTGGTGGAAATCAACGCGGCATGCATGATATCTAGCATGTATTTCTTCTTGCCCTGTATGGATGCATTGGTTGAAAAAATATAAGCACGGTCTCCAATATAAGCACGGGGTAGAGGGGTGTTGAAAAAATATAAGCACGGTGCTTATAATAGAGAATATACGGTATGAACAGAGTACGAATTCAGCCAACTATGGTCAGCAAAGAGCATAGTGTGTGTGTGTGTGTGTGTGTGTAACCGACACCCGCCGTCTGTCAGTGTTCCACAATCGCTGTGCTTGGTTTATCCTGGACGTCAGCAAGTCCGAACAATGGAATGAGCATCTCTCCAATGCCGTCATCTTGGAGCGGGCTCGTTTGCGATCAGTGGTGGAGATGCTGAGGATGCGCCGTCTTCGCTGGTTGGGGCATGTCGGACGCATGTCAGACGACAGAATACCAAAGTGCGTATTGTTTGGTGAGCTCCAGAAGACGCGCCCTCGCCACGGACCACGCAAGCGTTGGCGTGACAACATCGTGATTGACCTAGAGGAACGCCACATCAATGACTGGTACAGCCTAGGCGAGGACCGCCGTGCGTGGAGACTGGCCTGCAACACCATCCAGCCGCCTAAACCTGTGTCTCGGGATTTCAGGTGCCACTGCGGCCGAGATTTTCACCGTCGCCAGGACCTCACTCGCCACTCGAAGTTCTGTTCCGCGTGACTGAAACACTGTCGGTCCTTTCAGGACCTGCCATCATCTCCGGATGGGCATTATTGTATTGTATTGTGTGTGTGTGTGTCTTGATCTGTTTCATTCAGAATCAGATCCGCTATTGTTGCTATAAAGAGAAAGTCTGTGGGTGCATTTGCAAATAAGCCGTATGCACGTTGTACAGATGCACGGAATCCCGTGGTATCTCGTAGACCCGGTTGGGTGTTGGATGTGCAGGACCCTATTGTGTTTACTGCTATTTCCACTAAGAAATGGGCCCTGAAGGAATCATATGAAAACCTTTTTTTCCGACAAAGATCTAGCCTGTCATTAGTTCTATCCAAAGTGATGCAGCTGGAAAAGCGATTGTCTGCCATTGATAACGAGGTGAAATTGGTCAAATGTGCATGTATACCACAGAATGAACACCCAACCGCGTATGTACGCACCTACGGCAATGCACATGCATCCCCAGTACTGCTGTGCCATTCCACCACCGTGGGTCTTTGTTGAAGTCAGTATGTGCATGTGCAGCTCCATACCCGATCAGGGAGTCACGTAGCCTCACCACCGCCATTACGTTCAACACATATCTGGTCATCACAGGCTGGTTGACCCCTTATCTAGATGAGCGAACGAAGTCTATAAATTGACGCAAAGAGTGTTCCCAATCGGTTGGATGATCATACAGATCATGTACCAAGGCCTTACCAGCAACATGTGCCTGTACTCAGGAGCACCATCCCTTTGTAGCATGCCATCTACATTACTCCCTGCTGCCTTGTGTGTGTGTGTGACTGTGAGTTACGACTACAATAATGTATGTCTGTTACATCCAACAGCTGTTCTTGGTGATGAGCTGACAGACAGTGCACTGGGAAGTTTTTTTCTTTGCAAGAGTACGTGTTCACACAGCTACATATAATCACCAGTTTCTATAATGCATGTGAAGCAGGTTGGACTCAACCGCCAGGCATATTTCTTTACCAATTTCACCACTTCACGTTCATGTAGAGCTGCACGTAATCGTGTTCAATTGATCGCATACAGAGCCAGGCAAGCAACAAGCTCAAGGATGGTAAGTACCTGTAGTCCAATAGCACCCGTTCGTCTTCATCATCCTCCAACTCATCTAGCTCATCCAATGTCATGTCCTCCAAAGCCTTCTCTCCGGTTTTCTGTTTTATTGTCGCCTCCAGGAGCTCAGTCAACTGATCCTCGGTTACCTCCGCTTCCTTCTTAGGAGGCAAGATGCCCTTCGCACGAAGAACATCATTCCATTCTGTGTCCTCATCTGGGTTTTGCATCTTGCCTGACGAAACCAACAGCAAGAACAGTTCACCGATACTCGTACTTCAAAATGAACGGGATTATTGCCTTGACTTGAAGATGCATCGATGATGGTTTGAGATCGAGAGAATCATTTTCAGGAATGACATGTTCGACGAGTCAGCTTCTTTTTTTGGTTACGTCGCATGCATGTATGCAGAGACGTGCGAGCAACCCTGCATGGTATGGCCAGCGTCAGCGACATGCTGCAGCGCTGGCCATGGCTAGCTGTGCTCTGTGCTGCATGCATGCTGGGCGGCCGGGCCTGGCGCCGGCGCGTGGCGGGCCAGTACATGTACTCGTACGCATGTACGCAGTGGCGGCGCGCCGGCGTGCACGCGCGCGTGGCGAAGACGGCGAATCGCGAAGACGGAAGGCGTGCACGTGCCTGTGGTGTGGGGGGCCGGGCCGGGGGACATGGTACATGGTGCATAGGCCAGGCCGGGATCGCGCGCGGGAGTCGTAAAATACGACTCCCGGCCGGATATCCCTGGTAATGCATCCGACTTGCATGCATGCACTCGATCTAAAAAAAAAAGGGTCAAAATCTCTGTCATGCACGTAGATCTGCATGCACTTGTAAAGTAACCATATGCACGATGCATGTGTACAAATCGTTGTGAGTTGGGTCTTGTCACTTGTGACATGGTGACGCGCGGGAAGTCGCCGAGAGCCAACAAGAAGTAAAGTCAAGAGTTCGCAGTTCGCGCTTCGATAAACTCGACAGAAAACGTCCTTTGGTATTCGTGTGACAGTTTATTCATTGTGTAGTTCTTTTCTAGAAAACATCCCTTTACATGTTATAAGTAGTCCTTGAGTTGTGTGGGTGTAGTAGAAGTGGAAGGTAGCTGCAGGTGCCTCAGCCATGGACCTAGCAAGTCTGAGGAAAGGTTTGGAGCAGCATCGCCAATCACACCTGTTGCAGTTTTGGGATGATTTGTCTAGTGAAAATCAAAAAGAACTTTACGATGACCTCAGTTCAATCGATCTAGACCGAGTATGCCAGTACTTTGGAAAAGCCACAACTGGACTGAGTGAAGCCCAGACGAAAAGCGATGAGCGCCTGGAACCGGTCCCGGAAAAGGTATGCGGCAGTACATCCCGCATGAGCAGCGATGAGCACAAGCAACTGTTTGATTCTGGTCTCCGATTGATAGCAGAGGGCAAAGTTGCAGCATTACTCTTGGCTGGTGGTCAAGGCACTAGACTGGGCGTACCGTATCCCAAGGGTATGTACAATGTCCAGCTACCTTCAGGGAAAACACTGTACCAGCTTCAAGCAGAGAGACTACTCAAGCTGCAAGAGCTAGCTTTCAAGTTGACCAATCGACATGGGGTCATACCATGGTGAGTATGTGCTTGTTTTTCAAATTTATTTATTTATTTTTATTTTTCAGTAGGAATATCTCAAGATGACAGAAGAACCGATTAGAACAAAAATCATGAGTGGCAGTGAATCCACCCATGACTGAATGACGAATACAGTAAAAACCTGCCCTAGCCGGACGTCCTTAGCGCAGCCGAAACTGTCCCGATATGATAGGATTCCGCTTGATCCGGGTATGCACTTTCGATCCACATCGCTTTGGTGCATGACAATTTGTCCGGTCGATACAGGATTCTGCTTGGTACCGGGTACGGCAAACACAGGTTTTACTGTGTTTGCCGGGGATGTGCACCAGGTTCGTGCGTACCTGCCACAATTTGCGAGGGCAGAACTTCGCATCACGCAGCATGGTTCAAAGGTTGGGCTGAAAAACAGCGCAATGTGACCAGCAGGGTTGCGTACAACCAAGAGTACATATGTACTCTTGGTATACAATCATGCACAGGGTGCAAATAATGTGTACGGGTTTATCACGTGATGTTCTGCCGTCGCGGAGATGCGGACCCCATAGCTTGAGTTTCACACTACAGGGGCGTTGGACACGGTACGGTCACTACGGTATTGACCGTACCACTTTTTGCCCCGGGTACCCCGTGAATCAATAAAATACACCCACCTGGACTCTAAAATTTCAAAATTATCGGCTATTGTCTTGGGTGGGGGTACTCTTGGTACAATGAACTTTCAGTTTGACGTACCTCTTGTGTTGTGCTACAATCCAGGCGGTGAGCGTGCGTGCAGCACTCACACTTTGAAGTTCTTTTTTAATGGATGGTTCATCTTTGTGTGGCTTTATTTTATTGAGTTCAATGGGAGGTATGCATCACTTTCCTGCCATTGCTCTTGCCATTAGGTTGGCGTAGCAAGTCTACTGCAACCGTACAGACATTGGTCATGAACTGTGCAAGGTCATAGTTTCGATCACATTACCGTATTTGTACATACCCTGTATTGTCGCGTATTACAACCAGGCGTATTCTTGTGGAAGCCGACATCAGGGCTAGGCTTCTATTCAAGCCAAGTATTTCTCTGTGTGTCAACACCGAAACCAGGCGTATGTGCCGACAGTGTATCTTGAAAGTCAGGCGTGTATTCAAAACAGGCTTCTGTATGAGATAGGCTTTAATACAAGACACTACGGTATTGTGTACGTCCAGCGGCATTCGTACTACCACAAGCTTTTAGGGTGTCAATGAACGGTTCTGAGTCCGTGATGCCGAGCATTGTCTTGTTACAACCTGTTGCTGTGCTGAACAGGTACATAATGACAAGCGAACACACCAAAGACAAGACAGTGAAGTTCTTCCAGGAGCACAGCTACTTTGGCCTGGAAGCAGATAATGTGATAGTGTTTGAGCAGCACATGCTGCCGTGCTTCACCTTTGAGGGCCAGATTATACTGGCCGGCAAGCACAAGGTATGTTGAGTGCTGATTTATTTTACGTGTCTACTCTCCACTCTGCTGTAATTCATAATTTTAACTTATATACTAGTGTGCTTGATAGTAGTCATTGTCTTGTCGCTGCCACCAGCAACGGCCTGCATCTTGTGCTTGGCATGTAGCCCCCCTGCTTCTTGGCCACACTAACATGGTGTTTCTTCATTGCCGGTATTGTGTGTAGTTGTACCCACTCTCCTAGCATGGTCATCCGACTGATCATTGACTCTGTTAGCTGCTGCTCTGACGTTGCTTTGTACGTACTGGCAATGTGATTGCCTGAAGTATTCCTCTCTCTTTCTGTCTTTCTGTCTCTTCGCCATTTCATCAGGTGGCGCGGGCACCAGACGGGAACGGCGGTCTCTACTCTGCCCTAGGTTCAGCAGATGTCATTGCGGATATGCGTCGCCGTGGTGTGGAGTGCATGCATGCTTACTGCGTCGACAATATCCTTGTGAAGATGGCTGATCCGGTGTTTGTTGGCTTTTGCCATCAACGTTCGGCTGATTGTGGCGCAAAGGTTAGGCATGTTTCATTGCTTCCGGTGTACTCTCTTGCTTGCCTCGTATCAAGTACATGTTTAATTTATCCTGACCGGTTTCTGCCACACTTCACACACACACTTGCACTCAAGAGTAGCGGGTCAGCTGAAGCGACCCTGCAGAAACGGAAAATACCATGGCAACTGCGGAAGGCGCAACTACCGCTCCAGCGGGAACTCAAATCCGCTGCCTCCTAAATTTTTTGGAGCGGCACTCTCGCTTCTGCGTTTCCGCTGCAGTGGGAAACACCGCATTCTGCTGTATATGAACTTGCTACTACAAATATGTATGTGTAGGATGCACATGCGATAAAAATGCGGGGGGGGGGGGGGGGGGGGAGAGAGAATTTCATGGTCCTTGTGGATTTACTGTACCGTATGCACCTCAGTCCACTTTGCTCTCTCTGTTCCGCCAAAGTAGCTTGCCCAGTCTGTATGTGTGACCCTACACAGCTGGTTCTTCTGGAGAGGCAAATTGCCTCGCTCTTCTAAAGCTTCGCCGCCGAAACGAAACCCCTGTACAGGTGTGTCTGTGCCCATAGGCTTGATCAGAGGAATGAGGCAGAGAGTATGCAACTGAATCCTTTGTCCAGAAATTACTATAAAAATTAAAAAAGAGCAGAAAGCTGAACAAGGTAGCATCTAAAAGAGAAGGTACCTGACATCTTGGAAAGGCGGCATCTCGAAAACTGTGTACATGTAGTACAGTTTAGTGTATGGTTTCAGTACACGTCTGTACTATTTGTGCATCTGCAGTTTATGGTATGTAGCCATGTTAGGGAGTGCGTAGAAAATCGATGTAAAAATAGTGCAGATCTGCAGTCGTGCATCTGCGGTTTATGGAATGTAGCCATGTTTGGCAATATATAAGGTGTGTGTGTCATTTGAAACTGGCCCGATGCATTGCTGAGAACTTACTCAAGGACGCTTTGAGAAATGGCTGTACAAAAATCAGAGAACGTTTTTTTCAAAAACCCGAAGAGATATAAAAATCAGAGAACGCTTTTTCAAAAACCCAAAGAGATAATTATGGTGTGAATAAAACTGGAAATTATCATACCAAGAACCCTGAGCGTGGGTTCTAGAGCCGGAAAAAAACTGGCAAAGGGAAACCCACTGAAAACCAGGGATGTGAAAGAAAACACTGATCAACTTTTTTATTGCCTGATACGAGGATGTAAATTAAAAAGTTCGGGTGTCAGTTTCAAATGAATGGTCTGTAGGGTTGTTGCTAAACACTCCAATGTTTGGATTGCCTGTGTGTTGATCACATCCTCTTCTCTTGTAATCTTGTTTGGCGCGGGACTACGGGCTATGATTGTGCGCTCTATTTGAGACCTCTGCCAATACCCTGTCCGCTGTGTGGTGTGCCTAGGTTGTGGAGAAAGCCTTCCCAACGGAAGCCGTCGGTGTGGTGTGCCAAGTGGACGGTCACTATGAGGTCAGTGTAGCTCGGACCTGAACAGTGCTCTTGGTTTTGGTAATTAATTGTGGTGATTGATCGATCCGTTGATAGATTTAGTAATGATGCTGCAATACATTGTGGCTTAGAGCTTAGATAACATACACTGGGGAAAAGAGTTGAATTCTTTTGGAATTCTACAATAGGAATTATTGGAATGGGTCAGAGTTTGGCATCAGTTTCATTATCTTGGGAAAGAGCAATTCTGCTGCTAATAACATTTCGTGAATTCGTGAAATGACAATGACTGGAGACAGTGTACCATATCTTCTGTGGGAACGTATTTGTGAGTACATGTGTAGTGGACGTGATTGTATTTTTCTTGTCTGCTTTGTCATTGTTCAGGTGGTCGAATACAGCGAAATTGCGCTCAAGACAGCAGAGCTACGGCGGGAAGACGGCCGGCTTACGTTTAATGCCGGTAACATCTGCAATCACTACTTCACAACAGACTTCATCGAGTCGATCGTCACGGAGCACGACAGCTCTCTTCAGCATCATGTAGCAAAGAAGAAGATTCCGTTCGTGAGCGACGATGGCTCGATCACAACGCCAACCACGCCCAATGGAATTAAAATGGAAAAGTTTGTATTCGATGTCTTCCAGTTTTCTAAGTGAGTACCACTGCTGCTTTATTTTCTTTGGCTTTGGTTTTGCTATTCCAGAACATTTTAGATTAGCTAAAATAACATCCAATGCCCCCCCCTCCCTGGTTCACATCTGTTTGGGAGCTTCGAGTATTTTCTAGCCCAACTCCGTGTAAACGCCCATGGGCGAAAGCTCCACCCCAGTACACAGCTAGTGCAGTGTATGTGCAGCTCCACGTGCATGTACGGTACGGTAGTATAGTGTACAGTGCATCGTGCTAACCTTATCGTACACGATGTGAAAATAAGTTTGATTTTACTTATCCAAAATAGCGCCCGGGCCCGAATTGACGCCCATGTTCTTTAACTTTTCCGCCCGGCGCCTTATTACGGGCTTTTACGCTACTTTGGTCACATGCAGCAGATAGTCCAGCTGTGGAAAGTTTGTTGTGTGTGCCTTGTGCTCTTGTCAGATTTGACCTGGCATTGAATATTTGCAAGGGATTACGGTTGATGACCAGTGAAGATTGTGGCTATTTCTTTTGTGTTGTCCGCCTTCCTTCTTCTCCAGGCAATTTGCAGTGCTGGAAGTATTACGAGAAGACGAGTTTGCGCCACTCAAGAATGGCCCTGGCGCAGCCAAAGACACGCCGGCAACGTGCCGGAGCTCACTGCTGAATCAACACTATCGATGGGTATTGGCCGCTGGCGGCAAGTTCATGGATAGCGAAGGCAGTGTGTTGCCTCTCATCCCTGCAAGGTATGTTGTTTGAGGACTTTTAAATAAATAGGGGAATTTCCCTTGGCGCATACGGTAAATCACATAGAGTAAAACCTGTCTAAGACGACCGCTCAAGGGACCTTCAAAACATGGTCTCTGGAATCAGGTGGGCTCCTTATCCAGGGTCATTTGACTGGAAATAGCATCCCTTGGTCCCGGTTGCAATGGTCTTCTGGGACAGGTGGTTGCCTTGTCTGAGTGGTCACCTTGATAGGTACTGTACATGGTCCATGTAGTAGTTGTGAAGCGAAACATGTATGATCTGTGATAGGGACCCTGGGACTAGTTTCAGCCAGCACCAACGCAACCGATAAACTGCCAATTGGGTTGGACTGTGCTCGGTTGGTTAGAACCCAATTATCTTGTTGTGCTTATACCGGTATTACGCCTATTATACCTTGGCAGAGTGCTGTGTTCTGCACCTGATTGCTGACCAGTTGGACCTAATCCTGGCTACGACCTGCGTCAAGCCTGCTCATAGAATGATCTGTCTTGTGTCTGTACAAATGCTTTATACCCAGTTACTGTATAGCAGGAAATTTTCGGACGGAAATATTTTCGGACAAAGCCGAATTTCGACCTTTCGTATGGATTTTATTTTCGTACAGTGGTGCACGTGTTTGCATGCGGTACGCATGTATAGTGTACATAACTTCACAGGAACAAATTATTTTAGTACGAAAGCGGCCGTGTACGAAATCGTACGAAAATAAATTCCGTCCAAAAATTTCCTGCTACATGTATACAGTATGTTAGGGGTTCAAGTTGGGCTTTGTGTGGCAGAACTGATATCTACGATCATGTTGTTGCCTTGCATGTGCGGTTGGTTGCTGTAGATCCTCTGTACAAATGCTGGACATCCAGTTATGTTAGGGGTTCAAGTTGGGCTTTGTGTGTGGCAGAACTGATATCTACGATCATGTTGTTGCCTTGCATGTGCGGTTGGTTGCTGCAGGTCCACTGTACAAATGCTGGACATCCAGTTATGTTAGGGGTTCAAGTTGGGCTTTGTGTGGCAGAACTGATATCTACGATCATGTTGTTGCCTTGCATGTGCGGTTGGTTGCTGTAGGTCCTCTGTACAAATGCTGGACATCCAGTTATGTTAGGGGTTCAAGTTGGGCTTTGTGTGGCAGAACTGATATCTACGATCATGTTGTTGCCTTGCATGTGCAGTTGGTTGCTGCAGGTCCTCTGTACAAATGCTGGACATCCAGTTATGTTAGGGGTTCAAGTTGGGCTTTGTGTGGCAGAACTGATATCTGCGATCATGTTGTTGCCTTGCACGTGCGGTTGCTGCAGGTCCTCGTCAATGCCACATACTACCGATATTGACTGTGAGGTCTCTCCCATGGCGTCATACGCTGGAGAGGTAAGCGAAACCGGGCATACCTACACACACACGATAAGCGTCGATAACAAAGGCAGAATGAGGATTCATTATACTGCATCATCAGAGAGTCGTACCTGGTTTGGGTACGACTCCCTTTGCAGCATGTGCGGGTGTCTGGTGCATGAAGTATGTCTTGCTGCACTGGTGAATTGTCCAATTTCTTTCTTTTGTTTTTACTAGTACACTGAGTCACTGACTATTGGCATCTGAAATGTTTGGCTCGTGTTTGTTTGTGTTTTTCTAACCTCCTCAATGTTGTTACCTACGCTTGTGTACTGTGCACTAGGGTCTAGAGGAGCTGTGTGCAAACCAGGTACTCACTGCGCCTATTCAAGTTGTCCCCGGCAAGATCATCAAGCCAGAGTGTAGTTAGAAAGTGTCCTCTCGCGGCAAGTCAAATTGCTGGGGCAAGTCATATTTTGATATTTGTTGAACCCTGTCGTTCCCGATCCAGCTGATCTCAGCATTCACCTGCAGTGATGGGTATCTGTTGCTTCTCTGCTAGACAGCGATGGCGTGTTCTGCCGTCAGTTTCCTCCATTCAAGTATATGTGGTACTATTTTTCTACTCCTTATTACTCCATCCCTATTTAATCGAATGGATTTCGTCGTGATGTGCATTGCACTAACACACTAGTTGACACCGCAGCTGCTCCTGCTCTCTTAGCTAGGCTTGCAGTCTTGTCTGGTCGCATCCACGTCCAGTCTATCCACTTCAGTCTCGTCAGTTTTGTTGCAATGTCAACTTCTCCTTCTTCTTTTTTCCCCCACCTGCAAGCACTCCACGGATTGCAAGTACTTTCCTAGTCGTCTTTTGCACTCGTCAAGTGTTCGTATTGGTGTGCTGTTCACAATGTACATCGCTAGTGCAGATTTTCTATAATCATTAGAGCATTCTGCTCCCCCTCCCCTTTATTTTTGTTCATGAACGTGTCTGGGAAATGAACTGATACCATGTACCTGTACCACAGTAGCAGGAGTAGATATTTTACTACTCTCTTCTCGCAGTTTTTTTAGACCATTCAAGGCATGTTCAAGTGTTTTTGCTTTAGACGTGTCCCACTAGTATGTGTACACTCAGAGAATTTGGTGTGACCCGAGTACTGTAAATCTGCGCTGCAGGTACTTTCGTATTGGCGTGACGTCACGACTGATCAATGATGACTTGGTCTTATAAGCTCACTATGGATACTAGTATGTGCTCATAAGGGAGTCGTCAATTACCGGTACATGTAATTTGAAGTTCATGTATTTGACGGCTGCCTGGTGCTCACACATAGGAGCGGCATGGAGCTGTGTGGGGCCCATTGCTTTAGTGCATGATGCGCACTGTCTTATTCTAGTGGTGCGTGTGCAGTGCTGCTCAATGAAATCCGATCGAGTGAGTCAGCTTTGCACCGTTACATGTACGAGTGATACAATCCCAGCGTTCGCAGGTCTAGGGCTGCACAGCGCGCGGCACGTGCTTTTAAGTAGCTCGGTCAGATTTCATTGAGCAGCACTGCTGCACTTGCCTGTTGATTATTTTTGCTTTAGTGTGCACACACGTGACTGTGCGTGTGTGTGTGTGTGTGTGTGTGAATTTCAACATTGTGATTTCTGGCACAGTGACACTGCTGAAACTTATTCCAGTCAGCTTCACCGTTGAGAACAACAAGAAATGTGGTGAACTGTAATCAGGCACCCAAAAAAGTCGTTGTGGTGATATGTGGCCTTATGCCTATGGTGATAAAATGATAGGGTAGATGTCTGTATTTCGTGAAATCTGGGTCCAGTAGTTAGAAAGGCTGCTCAAAATCTGTAGCTGCATGAGCAATCAGGGAGTGCTACCAGTACAAGCAAGAGTACATAACCCCAAGAGTGTGCAACTGCCTGCACAACCTCTATGCTGTGCTGCGACGGCAGAACTTCACATCACGTGACATGGTTCAAAAGGTTATGCTGGCAAACAGTGCAAAGTGACCACAAGAGAGTTGTACCCAAAGCTGGGCTGCGTACAACCCAGTATCTATCATGCACAGAGTGCACGGGTTCATCACGTGATGTGAAGTTCTGCCGTCGCAGACCCCATAGCTGGAGTTGCACACTCTTGGGGTTATGTACTCTTGGTACAAGACATATCCCTGATGAAAAATAGCTTTACTTGATAGCCGACTGGCATCTGTATCACAATTTGTGGCCTGGGTTCAGATACTAGTATTGCACAGACTCGAATACTCAGTCAGTATTTACTAATTGCGGGTGGGCATGCAGAAGGTGTGTCCCTGCATATGCAACTCGTTCCGAAGTAATTAGTTCTGTGAAGTCTTAGGCTGCGTTTACACGACAACGCTGGGGGCGAAAACGCAACGAAATTCTTTCGGATCTAATCCATGGTTCATTTACACGGTACGTGGAGCAAAACGCAAAAGTTGTACACCAAAACGCTGGCCAAGGTGGAAAAATTTGAAAACGGAAATGTTCTGCTGGATAAATTTGGGTGTGTAAGGCCGAGTAAAAAAAATTACTAGATGATCGTCCTTTTTTTTGGAAAAATCGGGGAGGGCGGGAGGATTTTATTTTCATTTTTTTACTTTTTACCTTCTCATGCACACAGTGTACACAACAACATCAAGGTTTTTTTTCTCTTTTTTTCTTTTTTTTTCTTTTTTTCTTTTTCTTTCTTCAGCAGATCGATACTGACGTTGTGATATACTAGTAGTATGTGGTCCATATAGTAAAGAAAGTATTAAACAAAGCGTGCACATGTTTCCTGCATCCGCGATCGGTAAAAAACCAACGATTTCGGCAAAAACTCACGATTTAAAAAATAAAATATTTCTTGGGGCGCTGACAAAAACTGGGGCGGACGGGGACGATCATCTAGCTTTTTTTTTCCTTGGCCTAAACCAGGGAGTAGTACAATACCAATACCTGGTGTAAACAGTCGAAACGGTGTGCTGGCCTCGTTTTCCGTCACGTTTGTTTCGTTTTCGGCCGTTTACACGGCTCCGATAATTAAGGGTGAAACGAGTATCTATTTTGACCAATCGATCACTCGTTCATAATATTCGATCGAGTATCCGATTATTTCGAGTATATTATGAAAATTCAAAAGCGCTAGATTTGTGAGTTCTCGACCAATTCGGGAGAAATTATCTGTGAACATAGAGCAAAAGTCGCCAACGTCTTGTACAGAGTGTAAAGTAACGATTTTCATAAGTGCTTTCATATCTCAGATCGTTACTTGCCGTGGTGATCGCATTGTCCAAGTCATAAAATACTGACTCAAAGGAATGCATAAGGCATGCAACCATGTACAGTACAGTACAGTGGCCTACTAGTGGATGAGCGGTGTAACAAAAGTTTTTGAAAAATAGAATGCCAATACCAAAAAAAACAAAAACGACCGAGTGCAAAATTTCGAATACTCGCTCGTTTGAAATTTTCGAACGAATACTCGAATATTCGAACTAATCGTTTCACCCCTACCGACAATCCAAATTTTTTTTCCAATTTTCGTCATGTGACGTAGTAGTAGTAGTAGTAGTAGTAGTAGTAGTAGTAGTAGAATTTATTATTTGTGTTGTCGTGTGCCTGTTTTCAACCATTTACTTGAGTGTGATTGGTGCTTCCACGGCAACACTTGGCACATGACGAACTTTGGCGGATCCTTTGCTCTCGTGTACGTGTAGACGCTTGAAAACGATACAAACGGAGACCACCTCGGATCGGCTTTGACTGGTAACGTACGAAAACGGAAAAAGAAATGCAGGACTGAAAACGGAAAACTGGCCTAGCGTTGTCGTGTAAACGCAGCCTTCTAATATTACTAATATTATTATTACAGGTAGACTCCCTCTAATTCGAATACGGTTTAATTCGAACATTCCGTGTAATTCGAACTTTTTCGTCGTACCGATCTTTTGCAAGTCACTTCAAGTCAAAATCGAATGCATAATTCGAAGTACGAAAAGTGCGCCGGTTGGATAATTCGAACCCAGTCTTCGTACAGAAGAGCTGTTTACAGTACATTGGCTATGTCCTTTGAACGCTTATTTCGAAGTGAGATTGAGTTGCTATCCTTGTAATTCGAAGTTCATTCTCCTCTCCTTCTCTAGCCAAGAGTAGCTCAGAAATTGATTGATGGTCCGCTGCAGGATCGACTATAGCGTTCAAGAAACCCACCTTCTCTCGAAATTTGATTCAAGCCCGTGCTAGGCAAATTGCAAAGGTTTGATTGAAGACGACTTCTTCCAGGTGGCTGACTCTCTTCGCGGATCTCGATGGCCTTTCTTGCCGCGCCAGCTCGTGCGCGGGGATGTTGGCGAACAACAACACTATTGTCGTAAATATTGTCGATGCCTATGCTCCACTTCCGTTCTTCAGAACGACGTGCTGCTGTTCGACAGCCTTTCATGACGTGGATTAGGCAGCGCAGTTCTTTTCCGTTGAAATTGTTTCAGGAAAGCTGCAGTGATTGACAACTTCTTCACTAGAAGATGAAGATAATGTCAAAATGATTTTGTGTCGATCCAGTGTTTTGATGATCCGTTGTACATGACCGGTAGTAGTAGTAGTAGATTTTATTATTTTACTAGGGGAGTCCCAACAGGCGTTGCCTTTTTACTGGGAACCCTAGGTGAATTTTTACCATGTTTACATACAGAGTAAGAGACGGGGCCTGACGGCAGTCAGTGGGAAGAGCATTCCATCTGTCTGCCGCCAGGAAAGAAATAGAACGCGGTACGACCACCTATGTTTCGTTGATGCAAATAAAAATGTGCAAAAAATATTCAGCATGCGATTTCAAGCATTTTGACATACATATCAGTGCATGGGGCTGCATTTGGATAATTAGAAGTTCTGGATAATTCGAAGTTAGGGCCTGGCAATTTGAGGTTCGAATTAAAGGGAGTCTACCTGTATTACTCTACTCTAGCTGCAGCTCTGTGTGTGACCAGTGGTGACCGGGTGAAGTGACACTTGACTTAGTGATGTCCCTGACCATGATTCATTTGTGTGTCAGTTTCAGTGAACATATCCAGAAAACAGGACTACATTAGTACAACTGTCAAGTCATGACATACAACAGTAGCGTAGTCGCTATGTACTTCAAGAAGTAACTTACTTAGTTACTAACGTTGAACGGGTATCTTGTTCAAGTAAAGCTAAAGGTCAAGGCAAAGAATCCAGGCCATGGCCAGTGAACCAACCGTACCTGATGGTGATCATCATCTCCAGCGCGAGACAGAGAGAAAGCGTCGCCAGGTCACTGAGCGAGAAGATGTCGATAACCGTTGATCGCGCAACCATGTAGAGATGTAGATGTACCGTACGAGCCGTTTCGAATCATAGGCACAGAGAAGGAAACAATTACCATGATTACATGACAAAATAATAGTCTTCACTCAGTCGCAGTTTTCCAATCACCGTGAGAGTGCAAAACAACCGAGTCATGTAAGCTGCTGACTAGCAACATTGTGAGTCAAGTCACGGTCACTGACTCACTGCACCCGACCACACACAGAGTAGTGGACTTACACAGAGCCAACAGAGGCAACAGCGCGAACAACACCACTGACTAGTACTAGTTCTCCCTGGCTCTTCTTTCTAGATAGAGTCGATGAAATTAGTAACAGTTTGACATCATTTTGATGCCATGAACAGAGACGATTTCCAGACTATTCCCTCTCATGCTCAGTCCTGAATCCTGAATGCTCTCTACCTGTACCTGTCTACTCAACAGACTCGCATATTGACGATCGATAGAGTTGCACGTGCGTAGATCACCCCAGAAGCTTCCACGTGACTAGAAAAGCACGTGGGGCAGAAAGGTGCGTCACCTAGCTCCTGTCCTGTGCATGTGTCGTGGTTCTGTGTGCTGGGCAAAGAAAAACTCCCCCGATCATTTCCCCCTTCTTTCCTTTGTAGTTTTCGTTGTTGGCTGTAGTTCCACCTCGTGTTGTCCACCCATTTGCAGTGAAATCATCATGGCTGAGCCAAGTGCTAAACGATCTCCAGCGGAAGCCAGCGAGGAAGGCTTCCCCCATTTTGCCACCCAAGCTATTCACTCTGGCCAGGACCCTGATCAATGGCGTTGCCAGGCGATGATTCCGCTGATCTCTCTGTCGACAACATTCAAGCAGAACTCTCCAGCGGTGCTGTCGGTGAGAGGCGGCTCTGTACCCTTACTTTCGTAACAGAAATGTAAACTTGGCTCCGCTGGTGGATGGTTGAATTGAGTTCAGCGGATTGGAAAGCATGCATAGCAGGTTTTCGGGAAAAATATCAATGTTTGAAATAATTTGCACCTAAAGTACACTGTACATGCATGCTATTGCAGTATACTAGTAATTACTGATAGGCGTGAAAGTTTCACGCGTGCGTCTACCAAAAAGCATACATTCCACGGTTGGTGTTGAACATGTCACTTACTGTCCGAACTAACGCCCAACGCCCAAGACTATTCAGCGGTCCTGCATCTCTACTGTGTTTGTGACATTTTCCTGGATTGATATTCTCGTAAAATCTCCAGGTTAATCCTTATACACGAGAATGGATTGCTATCTAAGAAACGATTGCATGTGTGTGTGTGTGTGTGTGTGTGTGTTTGTTTGTTTAGTGGAGGTTATAATTATGCGATCCCTACATAGTTCCTTGCCATGCACACTAATTCTTAGCGGGTGATTTTCAGGGAAGGCAGTCATGTTTTTTTGTGAAGCGAAAACGTGTTCAATGGACACCTACATGATAGCACATTAAACACATCAAACAGGCAATCCTCTGGGTGCGAATACGGTCAGCACAGTGCAGTGCAGGGCTGGTCAATGAAATGCGATCGTGTGAATCAAGTTTGCGCCCGGCACCATTTCACAGCACAGTGTTCCGGGCCAGGGCTACTCAGCTCCCGGCTCGTGCTTCACTCACTCGATCGGATTTCAGTGAGCAGCACTGTGCATACGCCCTGTAACTCTGGCTCAGTGAACACACAGATGAACCACCGTCATGTCACTG